AATAAAAATGAAACATGTTAGATTGATAAACATTTTCTATTTGTTCTTTATCCTATACTGTATATATTTTTCATTATCTGATGAAACTTTAATAAAAGTGAAACATGTTAATTGATAAACATTTCCTATTTGTTCTTTATCCTATACTATCATATCTCATTCCTCTGATGAAAAAAAATAAAAATGTTTAACATGTTAGATTGATAAACATTTTAAATTTGTTCTTTATCCTATCCTATCTATCTCATTCCTTTGAAGAAATAAAAGTATGTTGGAATATAAAAGTTCTTAAACATGTTGAAATGTGATTGATAAACAAACCTATTTGTTTTTTATCCTATACTGTCATAAAAATCATCCTCTGATGAAAAAAAATAAAAGTGAAACATGTTAGATTGATAAACATTTCCTATTTGTTCTTTTTATCCTATCCTAATTATCTCATTTCACTGATTTAGCTTTAATAAAATTATCTAAAGAAACATGTTATTGATAAACATTTCCTATTTGTTCATTATCCTATCCTGTCATATTATCATTCTCTGATGAAGTTTTAATAAAAAGTGAAACATGTTAGATTGAAAACATTTCCTATTTGTTCTTTATCCTTTCCTATCATATCTCATTCTCTGATGAAGTTTAATAAAAGTAAAACATGTTAGATTGATAAACATTTCCTATTTGTTTTTTTCTTATTATCATATTATTATTTGTCAAATCTCATTTTCTCTGATTTGAATCATTTAAACATTTTTTGGTAAAGCTTTAAAAAAAAAACATGTTAGATTGATAAACATTTCCTATTTGTTTTTTATCCTATCCTAAAATATCTCATCCTCTGATGAAGCTTTAATAAAAATGAAATTATATAGATTGATAAACATTTAATTTGTTCTTTATCCTATACTGGTCATATCTAATCTCATCCTCTGATGAAGCTTTTAAAAAAAAGTGAAAATGTGTTAGATTGATAAACATTTGTATTTTATCCTAAAAAATTCTTGAAGTTTATCCTATCTGTCAAACATTTAGCAAAATCTCCAAAAGAATCATAAAAATGATGAAAAGTTTAATAAAAAATGAAAACATTTTAGATTGATAAACATTTATATTTGTTCTTTTTCCTATCCTATCATTCATTTGATGAAGCTTTAATAAAAACACTTTTAAACATGTTAGATTGATAAACATTTGGTATTTATTCTTTAAAAATAATAAATTATCAGTATCTTTTCTGCAAAGATTTAAGACTTTAATAAAAATAAATACATGTTAGATTGATAAACATTTCCTATTTGTTCTTTATCCTATCCTATCATATCTCATCCTCTGATGAAGACTTTAATAAAAGTAATAAACATTTTTGTTTATTCCATTGTCATAAAAAATTTGATTTTTTAAAAAAAAATCTTCTTTATCCTATTTTTCAATTTCATCCTATCTCAAGAATTCTGATGAAGGTTTAATAAAAGTTAAAACATGTTTTTATTGATAAATTTTCCTATTTGTTCTTTATCCTTATTTATCCTATATTTTAAAATTAAAAATTTAAAATGTTAACCTGAAAACATTACATTCTTTATTTATAAATTTTTTGAAAAAAAATTTTTGAAACATGTTAGATTGATAAACATTTCCTATTTGTTTTATCCTATACTATCATATCTCATCCTCTGATGAAGCTTTAATAAAAGTGAAAACATGTTAGATTGATAAAAGTTTTACTATTTGTTCTTTTATCCTTAAATAAATATTCTCATTTTGATGAAAGCTTTAATTTTGAAACATTTTAGATTGATAAACATTTCCTATTTGTTCTTTATCCTGCCTTACTGTCATATCTCAAATGATGAAGAAAATAAAAGTGAAACATGTTAGATTGATAAACATTTCCTATTTGTTCTTTATCCTATCCTTAAATCATATCTTTTTTCTCTGATGAAGCTTTCAATAAAAGTGAAACATGTTTATTTTGATAAACATTTTTTTTTTCTTTATCCTATAGTTAAATATCTCATCCTCTGATGAAGCTTTAATAAAATTTAAATATGTTAGATTGATAAACATTTCCTATTTGTTTTATCCTATGCAATTTTTCTTTTTTTCCTTTATAATAAATCAAACATGTCAGAATCTCTTCATGAAATTTATACATAAATACTATCATATCATTCTCTGATGAAGAAGTTAATGGTAAATTTATGAAACATTTAGATTGATAAACAGTATCCTATTTGTTTTTTATCCTATCCTGTCATATCTCATTTCTGATGAAGCTTTAATAAAAGTGAAACATTTAGATTGATAAACATTTCCTATTTGTTCTTTATCCTATATGTCATATCTCATTTTGAAGCTTTAATAAAAGTGAAACATGTTTAGATTGATAAACATTCCTAAATTTCCTTTATGTTTTTGTGATAATTATTTTTCCATTTCATTTTTTTGTTCTTTTATTTCAATGTTAGATTGATAAACATTTAAAATTTGTTTATTTATCCTATCTGTCATATCTCATTCTCTGATGAAGCTTTAATAAAAGTGAAACATGTTAGATTGATTAACATTTTATTTGTTCTTTATCCTATCCTTCATATCTCATTTCTTTTGAAACCAGCTTTAATTGAAAAGTGAAACATGTTAACATTCTTTTAAACATTTGCATATTTGTTTTTATCCCATAAATTGTGATCATATCTGATTCTCTGATGAAGCATTAATAAAAAGAAACATTTTAGATTGACTTTTATTTGAATATTTGTTCTTTAACATTTAATATCATTTTATCTTTTGAAGCTTTAATAAAAAATATAAAAACATGTTAGATTGATAAACATTTCTTTATTTGTTCCTTTACCTCCCATTATATCTCATTCTCTGATGAAGCTTTAATAAAAGTGAAACATTTGAGATTGATAAAATCATTTTTATTTGTTTTTATCCTAAATCAATCTCATTTTATGAAGGCTTTAATAAAAGTCCTAAATATTATTGATTCATTTTGACATGTTTTTTTTTTATCCTATCATATTCATTCTCTGATTGCTTTTGTTTTTGTTGAAAACCACTGTTAGATTGATAAACATTTGATTTGTTTTGTTCTTCATCTCATTCAATCAGATTTTAATTGAAAATATTTGATAAACATTAACACAAATCAATTTTTTCCCATTATAAAACATTGTTAATAGTGAAAGTGATTTCCAATTCATTTATTTTTATCTATGTCCTTGTCATGAAAAGTGAAATTAAAAAAAAAAATGTTATTGATTTTTCTTATTTGTTTTCCTTAAACATTTTCTGAATTTGTTATTAAATATTGAAATTCTACCTTTTTGTTTTGAAAAATTAAAGTTTGGATCCTATTCTTATATTATGAAAAAATGTATATTTCAAAATTTTTGGGTTTCATAAAATTTTCATTTCGTATTTTTTTTTTATTAAAATATTTTTAGATATTGCTTTTCTGGTTATAAAACATACAACATTTCAACTAAATGTTACATCAAATATATATATGTATATAAAAAAAATGATGATTCAAAATATAAATTGGGCCAGTTCAGGGGGCCTCATTGAATTTAAAACACCCAATCCATCTACATAAGCCCAAATCTTTAAAGCCCCATTTAATCTGAAATGAAACAAAAAAAAATCTTCTCTGTTCTTACGTCTTTATGATTTTTTAAACTTTTGTCAGGTGTTCAAGACTATTTCAACCTGTTTTTTTTTAGTTTGGGGACTCTGGGCAAAAAAAATATTTGTTTGTCCCAACCAAGTTTGTCATTCACATTCACTCTAAATAAGGTGTAAAAATCTGCAGGAAGTTTCAAAAAGGCCTTTATTAGTTCATGTTTTGTTGAACATTAAACTGAAAAGGTTTTTCCATTTTTTTAATAAGTTATTTTTGTAAAACATCTTATTTGGAAATGTGAAAACTTTGTCGAATCGGCAAACATTCCAAAGTTTTCTTTTTTTTTTTTTAACTAGCATTTTCAAATGTCCCTTCATTTCTTGTCATAAAATTCCTTTATATGAACCTGCTTTTGCGATACTTCAAAATTTGAACAAAGGTGGAAACCCCGGAATTGGCTAAAAATATTTACATAAACAGAAAAACAAAACAAAAAACAAAAAAAAAAAACAAACGACACCATGGACAACGAATGTCGCAACTTAGTACTTATGTTGTACTTAGGGAAAAGAAAGAAAGAAAGAAAGAAAGAAAGAAAGAAAGAAAGAAAGAAAGAAAGAAAGAAATCTTACCGATTGTATAAAATAACTTATTTGGAAATTGTTAAAAAAAATAATGAAGAAATTTGATAGACAGAATTCTTGGAAATTCTTCAACAAAAACTGAATATATGACCGCACGCTACATATATTGACAGTTCACTTAAAAACAAAATGCTTAGAGGAAAAAAAACAAACCTCAGTAAAATGAATTACGAATATTCCACAAACATTTCAAATTGTGTAGAATAGATAGTCTTTAAATGTTAGCGCTTGTCATTAATAGAATTTCCTTTATCTAGCAACTACTTAAGTCCAGAATTTTCCTCAGTATACCGAGTTATCTCTCTTTAAACGGTGTCCGTCACCCAAGACATGACACATCGTTCCAGACTCCACATGTAAAAAAAAATGGTAATTTTCAGATGACCACAACAATTTTTGTCTCTCTTAGCCATGAAAACTAAATATTTACTCGATAATTAACAATACTCTGATGATGATATTATGCTATGTCGAAAGTACTCGGAAATAAATACAATATGAGCCAACACGTTGTTTTCCTCTCGTCTTTTAACGACCACACAAGAAAGCTTATCCGCCAATATGAAAGCATCCTATCGAGAATAAGTAGACAGAACATGTCTAAATTATTTAACGAAACCTGTCATGTATATATATATATATATATATATATATATATATATATATATATATATAAGAGAGAGAGAGAGAGAGAGGAAGAAAAGGTATAGATAGAAAGAAAATTATAGAAATAGAAAAATAGATAGATAGATAGATAGATAAAGAAATGATATAGATAGAAAGAAAGTGGTAGGTAGATAAATAGATAGATAGATAGATAGATAGAGAGAGAGAGAGAGAGAGAGAATAGGGAACGAGTCTGAGATGGAGATAAAGAGCAGAGTTAGTGGGTTTCATTACCTTCGTAGTCATCGTCATTGCTCTTATTAAATATTGTTACTTTTAGGATGTTCTCATTTATTAAACTTAGTTTGGCACAAGGCAACAATTACGGAGCTCGCAGTAAGTATGTAACTCATTATTTCCTCGTAATTATCCTTCAGTCTAGCTTTCTATCTGTTAATATATTATATTTTCAGTTAAAATCAAGTTAGCATATTATGTGGAATTGAAGGTTTTTATGAAGGATCTCATGAAAGAAAAATGGGTAGAAGAAAAGAAGCTAGCTATGAAACACATAGAAGAAGAAGAAGAAGAAGAAGAAGAAGAAGAAGAAGAAGAAGAAGAAGAAGAATGTGAAAAGGGGTGAGGAGCCGAAGAAAAAGGTAAAAGAGGAACAAGAGAAAATGGAAAAATACAATATTGCACTTGAAGAAAATAGAAATTAAAGAAATACATGCCTGATAAAACAAAGAAGAAGAAAATAAGTGAAAAAGAAGAAGCTATAGACGAAGAAGGTCAAAGGGAAAAATGAAAAAAAAATAGATGAGGTGAAAGAGAAAAAAGAGGAGGAAGAGAGAAAGTAGAGAATGGAAATGAAAAGAAGAAAAAAGAATCGAAGTAAAATGAAAATTGAAAGATTCAAGAAGCACGAGGTAAAAAGGAAAGAAGAAGAAATAAAGAAAAAAGAGAGAGAGAAGTAAAAAGAACATAAAAAAAAGAATCGTTGACAATAAAAAAAATAGTAGGAAGATGAAGAAAAATTCTATGATTAATTCAAATTAAAGGCAGGAATTTCGAATCAATTCCATTGGACAGAAATTTAGATTTTCCATTGATGATCGAAATTAAGTACTGATCTCATCCCTCAAGATAAAAACGGATGACTGTTTAAGAACTACATAGCCTAACCTTAAAAACAAAGGGACAATTTGACATCAAGGTCACACTGAATTCAGCTTCAATTGAACTATCGATATTGAACTTGAAAATATGTAAGAGGTAAAAGATATGAATCACAGGTTACAATCGATATTCGATAAAAGAAATAAATCATAGAAACGACACTTCTGATAATGATGACACTGCGTTAAGGAGAAGGGAAAAAAATAAAGAAACTGGAAACAATATTAAACAGAATAATACGAATGACACAAAATGAAGATGAGAGAAACCACAGGAAATCGCCTCAAAAGCCATGAAACCCATGGATTTTGTCCATGATTAGGTATTATTCTGGATTATTCTTTAACTCGCTAAAGTTAATCGATGGATTTGAAACTGAATGCCTATTCAAATACCATGGCACGCTGAAAAAATGTTAACAATGTATACGCAAAAAAAAGCGGGAAAAGACACATAGATGACGGTATGACTTAGCGATAGAAAACGTAAATCGGGATAATATAATAACAAATTTCTTTAAAATTGATATATATATATATATATATATATATATATATATATATATATATATCAATTTCTAAGAAATCAATGGATTTTAGACGACATTATTTCGTTGGGATTAAAAATAATATATATATATATATATATATATATGAGATGACGAGAAATAAATTTTTATATAATTTATGTATATACATATATGATTAATCAGTGAAAATCAAACAATACAAAAGTAAAAAATACGAGAATTTCTTTCTTCTTTTTCTCGATATTTCATTCTCTGATGAACCATTAATAAAAATGAAACATGTTAGATTGATAAGCGTTTCCTATTTGTTACTAATATATATATATATATATATATATATATATATATATATATATATATATATATTACTGTGTGTGTGTAGCAAAATGGAAGAAAAACCTCTCGGATACGCGTTTCTTCACTGAACCGGTTTTATTGCGTTTAAAGATGGAGTTTCATATATACATATATATATATATATATATATATATATATATATATATATAGATAGATAGATAGATAGATAGATAGATAGATAAATAAATTACCCTATTGCATATTTGAGCTTAACAACTTTAACAAAATATTGCAATAACAATCATATATATAAATATAATAAATTTAAATATAATTGCAGCTGATAAAGAAGTAAGAGGATACAAATAAAAAAATTGACAAGGTTTTTACCATTTCACGGAAGTATACTTTAAACACATGGGTGTGTTGTCACTTTATATTTGTTTCTTTCCCTCTGATATTTATTTCTGTTTTTCCTCGTCTGTATTGACAGAGAATAACGTACGTATTGACTAAAAAAAATGAGGAACCAGCCAAATTATAATATAATTATGTGGAAGGCAAGAAATGCAACAATCAATGGTGAGAAATTTAAAACGCAGACGATAGAGGAACGTTTAAGTTAAAATTTTTGAATGATTGCCGTTTGATAAGTTGGGCAAGCTCATTCATATTTATATTAAATTAAAAAATAATTTCATTATGAATTCCAAATCCATATGAAAAATGTGTTGCCTTCGCATGTTTCAGTGGTTTAATATTTGAAAGTTACTTCGGATTCTAGGGTACCTAATCAGATGAAAAAGATGACCTAAAAACAAAATGATCCTTATATACATTTTAAGACAATTTTATGTTTATACATTCTTTTTTATAGATACAAATATTTAAGTAAATACTCTGTTTCATAATAAACAGTATTAATAACATTTACCGGCCTGAATGTCCGAGAGATTTTCATAGAAAATATTCGTTCTCCGACAGGAATCGAACCTGTATCCTATACGGAACCGTCATTTACCCTGACGTGCCTTAACCGATCGATTTTTAAAACACAATCTTCCATGAATCTCTCACGTACATTTATATCTGCTTAAAGCGTATCCAAATGTAAAAATGACGTCACACATTATGAAATGGACAAAATCCGACAATTATTTTAAGACATTTTTATGTTTATACATTATTTTATAGATACAAATATTTAAGTAAATGCCTTGTTTTATAATAAACAGTATTAATAACATTTACCGGCCTGGACGAATATTTTCTATGAACATATCTCGGACATTCAGGCCGGTAAATGTTTATTATAAAACAGAGCCTTTACTTAAATATTTGTATCTATAAAAAGAATGTATAAACATAAAATGTCTTTAAAAAAATTGTTTCCATTTTGTCCATTTTTATATATATATATATATATATATATATATATATATATATATATATATATATATATAAACCAGACATGAATATTGAACGGATGTCAATATTCGTTGAAAAATTTGCCCCTACTATCCAAGGAGACTTAACCTCTTTTTCGAACATAACTCATAATTGATACCATCATCATACTTATTATAAAACCCAGGTTGTGTGTGTGTGTGTGTGTGTGTGTGTGTGTGTGTGTGTGTGTGTGTGTGTGTGTGTGTGTGTGTGTTCGTTCGTTTATATATTGGATCGGATTTCCTACATTTTTCAACTGATTTAAACAAAACTTCACAGGACTACGTAAAATTACCTTGCGGTGGTTCTGACAGTGCCAAAAATTGGAAAAACAGAATTGTTTTTGCACAAAATCAATTTGAAAACACAATTAAGAGGCATCGCTGTCGCGAGAATGAAATATCGAGTTATACTTATTATAAAACCCAGGTTGTTTGTGTGTGTGTGTGTGTGTGTGTGTGTGTGTGTGTGTGTTTGTTTATATATGGGATCGGATTTCCTACATTTTCCAGCCGATTTCAACAAAACTTCACTTTATTTTTGGCAGGTAGTGTTTCTTATTGTCTTGCACACTTTTTTCTTCATTTTTACATTCAGGATGCTTTAAAAAATTCTATTTACATGACAATTGTTTATAATAAAATTCTATTCAATCGGTAGAGACTCATAACGATTGAAAACATTGTTTTTGCTTTGAGTTTGGGTTTGACCAATTCGTAAAAAAAAAAAAAAAATAAAAAAAAAAAAAAACTAATTAAGACATGCGTGTCTGTCAACCTTAAACAATAATCTTTGTCAATTTTATTTTTCAGTCTTTATGATGGTCGATACTTGATCTATCTCTTACTCTTACATCCCCGGGCAACGCCAGGCTCTACTGCTAGTTGTGAATAAAAATGAACATGCTACCGCTCCTGTCTAAATGATTGAATTGCTCTGTATCCTTGGAAACAAAAAATTATGAATTGTATGTGCGTTTAAACTCAGTAAATTTAAAAATAAGTGATTCCAAAATTCGCTTGAAGATAAAACAGAACTAATGCTTTTAATTTAATTATATAATTAAGTATGAAATTTTTAGCTTATGTTTTTGAAACATAGTAATTCCTGTGTAGCGCAAAAACCATATTTTAAATCAATTAATATATATATATATATATATATATATATATATATATATATATATTATGATAATTAGTAGCGATAATTCCAAAAAGGATATAAAACATCTCTCACATTCTCTTCATTTTTATTTTAAAATATATATAAATTATTAGCAATTTTTCTTTTGTCATCATATATATATATATATATATATATATATATATATATATATATATATATATATATATATATATGAGATGACACTAAATTGTCCCCATTTTATATTTTTAGTTTTGAAAACATCATTTTTTTTATTTTTTGTCGACTGCACAGTATATTTCGGTTAGTTGTGCACTGTCAGCATGAAATTCACGCAATTCACACCGCCAGAAACTTGGAAACGGCATGCTGTACTGCTTGGCATTCGCAATCCGAAAAATGCAATATATATCAGGAGTAAATTTATAAAAAATTCAGTCTGAGTAATAGTGAGAGGACGATATATATAAATATATATATATATATATATATATATATATATAAATATTGAATAAATACAAATATATTTTAGTTTTATCTGAAAATATATTTTGACATTTGGAAGGAGTTGAATGAGTCTAATGGCGACGTTATTCCTCCACTCATCTTCCCCAGGGGACCTCAGACTCAACACGGAGACCTAAATGAGGAGGTAGTGCTGCCATGGGTCAAGAGAGCGGCTGCTGGTAGAACCTTTCTTACAACAGGACTCTGCACCATGCCACACAAGGAGAATCCAGTCATGGCTGTCAGACAGTTTCTGCGACCATATCACTCTGGTCACCAGACTGCAACCCCCTTGATTATTATGTGTAGGGCGTAGTTGAGCGAGAACCTAACAAAACTTGTAACACTAAAGATGAACTGAAGGTAAAGATTATGTCAGCATTCACCAACTTATACAAGGAAACTGAAGAGTTGCACAAGATTGTCACTACCAAGGCACAATTGTTTAGCTTTATTTTTTATTTTAGCTTGCGGTCACATCACGTTCAAACGCTATATAGCCTTGTCAGTTCCTAGATGGGTGATCGCTTAGATTGTGCGGGTGGGAACATAGATACTGGTTCGTTATTTTTAATCAGAGAGCCGTAGGGTTGGTTATATTCGCTTACGTGCACATACACTTGAGAAAGGTATGAATCCACCTCTTCTCCCCCCCTGTGGGTTAATTAGTAAAAATTGTTTCTCTAAACCGTTATCATCTCAAAACATTCTTACTACCTAAAATATTTTCTGGATTTAAATAACCTGCAAATGGTTGATAAGCTTTTGAAACAAAAAAAAAAAAAATTATTATCTCATTGGATGTGTACAAAGATTTTTTTTCCTGGACTTAATTAATGTAAACATTGTCCAAAAGTTTGTTGATCACGAGCGTTTTCGTCT